GTGTGGGGGGGTCTCCTGCGAGCCCCTAGATATCTCCTAAAAAAATGTGGACCAATCTTTTTTGCTTTCTTGAAGAATTTGTTTCCATTTCAAGGTAGAAGGTAACATTTGGTGACATAATTTCTTATTATGAACATTCAAAATTGACAAGACTAGAAGCTATTAACAGGCAACTAGGTAACCGAATGATCCGTTTGTTGTATTAAATTGGAGAGTTCAATTTTATGTATGGTTTGTGTTTAATTAGCGTGTCAAATAAGCCTAAAAATTCGATTTTTTAAAATACGTAAGTCATATATTTTGATCCCAGAATCGCTCAGAATGCACCGGAATTGCCCAGAACGCGCCAAATAAGCCTAAAAATTCAACTTTTTTAAAAACGTAAATCATATATTTCTTTATCCTAGAATTGCTCAAAACGCAAGCGCGGAAATGTTTGGGTCCAATTCCTTGTTTCTAATTAGGGGGAGATGGGAGGAGTAGATAGGAGGTGATAGGAGGGGGAGATAGGAGTGGAGATAGGAGGCAGTTGGGTGGACAATTTGTAACAACCATTAGGGGGTCTTCCATCTTATTTGTTGTATGTCATTATGTTACAAATTGAAACAAAAAGCAATTACTAGTTAACAATACAAAAGGAATAGGGATGTCCGGACACGCTGTAAGACGAGCCAGTAATCAGTGAGAGACATTCGGGATCTGTATCAAATGGTTGCACTTTCGTAATAATCTACAAACTGGTGAATTTGTCATAATAACTCCTTCTTTATTTCATATCTAAGTTACTTGCCATTTCATAATGTAATTATTTAAACTAAGTAACAATCGTAAAATCGGTCAAGTATTGTATACACGCCTAACTATGGACAACGTACAGTGACAAAATATACCGTTGTACATTTTCGATTTTCTTGTGTGCGCGTGACAGAAATACCAGTGCTCAAGCAGGTAATAACAGTCCTTATTAATCCCTTAGCTTGATGATGGCGTATCCGTTCATTGCCCCTATTTGAAACCCCCCAAAAATTAAATGTTAAGATAAAAAACAATTTATGAATCAATTAAATGAAACATTGACGTCAGATAAGTTTATATAAAACGCAACATGAAATATTTCAAACATTCAATCGGGTATAATGACATTCATTCATTTTTGAAGAACATTGACCTGAAAAAGGTCAGGCAAGTCAATGACTCTTGCAAATCAACTTCAAGATTTAATTAAATTGCGTGCTAAGTGTCAAAATTCTCAATGAGAAATAAGAAATGTTTTAAAAGTTATGTATTAACCATGAATTATATCAAAGAATATAGGTTTAGAATTTTTCTGACGTACGTCAATTTTTAATAATAATTGAAATTATTGAGTCAGATATGGCACTGGTGCTCCAAAGTTTCAATAGAGGGAGGAGGGTTAAGACTTTCCCATGCTCGTACAATGGTCAAAATGTGAAAACGCGCCTAATATTTCATACTGGGCTCAGAATACTCTAAAATACATTATAATTTCCAAAACTGTGCACCATTTTATAGGATGTTAAGTAAAATTGTCAAATAAACAAATGTCGACATACTGTAAGACTATAGGAATATCCTATATGGTTTTGATAAAAACATCATTTATATCCATGAATAGATATTGATATCTTCATGTGTGAGCGCAGTGAATGAGTGAAGACATTGATATCCATGAGTGGATATAATTCATATTTTTGAAAAACCATAGGATTGCCCGTTTATCCCATGGAAAAGCATCATCAGCAAAAAAAATTTTGAAAAAAAATATTAAAAAAAACTCCGAGTTATAATTTCTACGGCGACCCTGCGGCCTGTAAAAAACTGGATACGCCGTACGGAGGCCGCAAGGCGAGCGTAGTTTTTCTACGCTCGCCGCAGAAATACACTGATTTAATTGATCTGCGGTCGACGCACGGCCTCCGTGCGACAAATGTGACTGGAGTGTAAAGGCCCCCTTACATATGAACGAATCCACTAAACGCAGTCTTGCGAATAGGAATTGAGAAATATATAGGAATTCGTAAAATACGTTGTACATCGTTGGGGTGTTCGTATGTGTAAGTACCTCTTCGGAGGCTTTGCAAAAATGCGCTTCAGTTCCCATGTTTACGTTCCCAAACGCCAGAATTGGCTTCGCAAGACTCCGTTTGGTGGATTCGTTCATATGTGAAGGGCTTTAATCTATAATATAATTGATATAAACATACTCGTACTTAATTATCAAGTGTGATAAAAAGTTCGTTCAGAAAAAAAATTAAACGTATGTCATAAAAATGTCCCTTATCAGTTATTTGACGTTATTTATGAAATTGGTCTGACCAAATGTCAAACATAAATGTTAATGTCAGATTGTTACTATTTTAAGACATCAAAGTATTTTAACATTTTGTGTTATCAATTTAAGTATACATTGCCCCGAAACCCTTTATTATCTATATCGCGTTTACCATGACAACTTCTTTTTATCTGGCTACATTTGATAGGATGCATGCCAACGTTTAACGCAGGATATTTGGAATGAATCCCTGAAGATCGCGGTTAGCCTTAATGTCATCTGTATAGACATGTATTTTTCCTTACCAATGCGGGTTCCATTGAGCAGGCCCATCTCTGCACGGGAAGCAAATTTATTTCCTTATATGGAAAAAAATCCCACAATGCATTTTGCATGGATTCACATTTTTAACTCTGTCTTCAGCCAATTAAACGTGTGAATTTTTAGACTTGAAATTAATAATACGTTGACACGTAATGGCGTCAAAATAAATAAGTGAATGCATGTGTACTCTATACAATGGTGACTTAAGATGTGATTATATTTAACTATTATGTGTCACGATTACAATGCAATATTCATTTTTTGCTATTGATTTTTGCTACCTGATTTTGAACCTAGAATCAAATAACACAAAATAGTGAGTTTACCAAAATAAATGAAATGTCATCCTCAGAAATGATGAAATCTAAACGTGTGTTCCAATTTGTCGTGATTGGAAAGATTTCAGATAGCGCCAACATGCCGCATTGAGCCAAAAGAACACCAGTACCCATGTCACCATATGGGGTTTCATTTTACAGTCCCTCAGGGTCATATCAAACAACGGCATTGCTTTCTGCCCAAAGAAAACCAATAGAGGGTCTCAATACTGTCAAAGTGCTCAAAAGGACCTTGCCCCATTTATCACATGTGGCCTCATGTAAACGCCCGGTGTAAAAGAAATTATGGTCCCCCAGGGATTATGGTCCCCTTTCTTAACGGCCTTTACTGGCCCTGATTGCGTATAAGATAATGAGGGAAATAGTTGTATTGAGGTCATAAATCAATGGAGAGTAGGACCATAATTTGAGAGGACCTCCTACCCTTTTACACCGGAGTCCAATATACTTGGATCAAAACCCCTCCATAAGTTTGCCCTCCCTTATCATATTTGTCATTTTCCAAAACATTGTGATAATTTAGGAGTAAAATTAGATTCAAACATAATTATGTTTGTGCATAATGCTATTCAATGGAGACATCCGGATTGTGATGTTGGTTCTCGATGGGAGGGGGGGGGGGTGTTAGACATTGTTTCTTTTCACGTTAGATCATGGTTTTGGGATATGTAGGGTCTACTTTTATATGGCAAGTTTACACTTACAGTTTGCTTTTCTTGTTGGGTTTCTTTGGTCGAGTTTTTAGTCACCCTTCCCTTTGGCATTTGCGCTTATATATATTTATGAAAGGGAGTGTATATAAGTGGACCTTGCTACACGGACTCCCGCAAGGTCATATTGAACGGCAATATTGCACGCAGAACATCATCCACTATATCCCTCGTATAAACTTTTTATTCACTCGAGTTATCACAATGTTCTAAATTGACTTATATCACGACTGCATGTATTTTACATACAGTAGAACTTACAGGAGACGAAACCTTTACTTGTGAATGGTCTATTAATCACTCGGGAAACATAAAAACGAAGCTGTCATTGTACAGTGTTTACATATAAGTTTACTAAGACTTTTATCACTATCTCTGTTAGTTATGTTGTGGCACTCTACGTGGTAAGTAAGGTTATGTGTATTTGATGCGAAGGTGACGGCCGTTACATTCGCTTGATACTGACCAGTGATATAGCTTAATATAGATTGCCACCGCCATCTGAAACGCAGGGCCGATCTGACATCATCCGGATTATCCAAGAAGGGAAGGAATCACGTGGATGATGTCGAGAGTCTTGTGTTCTTAGGATGATCGTTTATTTATTCAACTCATTAATGAGTTCCAATTTGTAAATATTTCGGTGATTATTTATGAATTTATTTGTTTCTGCAGATAACCGGTGACAAAGGGCTGTGTGTCAAGTGTAGGATTTATGCTGTTTGACTTTAACAGTTGAACCATATGCTGTGGTGATAAATTCACACTAAGAGCTTACATTAAAATAACACTGTGACCTTAACATACTTGCCGTTTGGATATACAACGACTTACACAATTACAGTTTCAACAGCATCGCAGTAGTTTGTCATTCTCTAGAGCTCGGTACTTGGTCTGTTTTGGTATTGAAATAGTAGTACCACAATATAAGTGACATTGGCGAAAAAGAGGCGAAACAAGCGATACAGTAGACATGGATGATAACTTCAAACATCTGACCAACAGAATCCAGGTGTAAAAGTTTCATAACTGTGCGTGATAGGGAGACTGGGAAATCACGTCATCGTTGAAAAAGCGATCGAGTGCATTTGTATTTTCTTTTGAAATCAATAGTTTTTTAAGTGAACTCCTTCGGTATTCAAAACTAAGTTATGACGATCGAACATCTTGATATGAATGAAATCGATTAAAATGCAAATAAGCAAGGGTGTTTGTCAATGGCTAATGATCGGGTTGTACTACGGTATATAAACTTGAAACATATAGCAATCGTTAGTTCTCTGTTGAGACATTGAAGTAACAGAACTTCGATTTTATAGAATTTAAGCAGAGAGAAACAAGCAATATGAGAGTTACGTTACAGGACACTCAGCGGTCGTTATTAATGGTGATGGGAGTGCTGGTCATTTTCATCTTTGCATTTGACCAATACTTGGAGAGAGATACGAAACTAAAGATAGCTTCATATGAGACAAGATGGAGAAGCAGGGGACTACAATCGTTGACCAACAGCACCAAAGATCCGCTAGGTGACTCTAAATTGTGGATGGCGATCAGTCGGAAATCAAACGCCAGATCGTTTGGGTACGATACAATGGTTTATAAAAGTCGTTTCGACGAACCAGACGCTCGACCAAGTGTCATCTCTTCCCTGGAGACTTATCATATGCAAGGTGAGCGTAAAAAATCAGAACCGATTGTTGAGGCGAATGACGAAGCCGACACCGTGGACTTTAAAGAAATGATGACAGAGAGTGTAAAAACAATCGCAAACACTCCGAGTCAATATATACCGAGGATCAAGAGCTGGGAAGACATTTCGAACAATCCAAGAAAAATATTACTTTTTCCTGGGAACGGTCGCCTTGGTGACGAAATGTTTCAGTACTCCTCTGCGTGGGCGATTGCTAAGAAAACGAACAGGACGCTGTACATACCTTCAAACTCCCGTCTTCTCGAGATCTTCAGTAACATTAAAGCAGAAATATTCGATCTTAGATCTCTGCCCAAAGACATTAACCTCCCCGTACGATCAGGCCGAGGACCTTTCAAAAAAGACTTATTCAACGTAAAGGCGGCTAGCTTCGTGCTATACAACGGTTTGGGGAGCTTCAGTTACATTACAAACATTAAAGATGAAATTAAAAACCAGTATACATTCAACAGTGACATAAAATCAAAGGTTGATAACTTTTTTAAAACACTACCAAGTGCAATAAAGAACGAAAAAACTATTAACGTCGGGGTACACGTCAGACGTGGAGACCTATTATCGCTAGAAAATAACAGGAAAGGTTATCGTGTCCCAACAGTTGACTATTTCCTCAAAACTATGCAACATTATGATCGAATTCTTAGTCCAACAAACATTCGCTATATCATATGTTCAGACGATCCAAAATGGGCCCGAGAGCATCTAAACTTTCCTAGTACACATTTCTGCCCCGGTGAATCGGACAGCATGGACTTGGCCATATTGGCTCGTTGTGATCACTCAATTATGTCCGTTGGGAGCTTTGGTGCATGGGGGTCGTACCTAAGTGGCGGAATGGTGACATTTTACCCATACCCCTACAGTGAGAATTCTGCCATGTGGAAACTGTGGCACAAACACAAACACGAGAAAGTTCCAGCACACGGTCTTCCGTATTACAGTTGAGAATGACTAGAAATCTTCCGCTCAAACCTGGGATTTGAACTGATCCAATTCCTCTAGTCGTATTACATAGCATTACGAACGTTTTATGCTTGAACGTTCGATTGTATAAAAAACTGCCATTCAACAAGTAAAGTAAATGGACATACAGGCATTTATAACTGAAAAACGTGTTATTGTAACAAAGTTACATTTAGCCAAAATATTATTTAATTGAATGGTTACATGCATCCTGCATGCATGTATTCAGCTAATTAACAATTTTAGTGATCGGGTGTTTCAGTGCAATTATTTTTCACAGTGGTCAATTTCAAATATTGTAAATCTTAAGTTTCGGGGTGATAATGAATATGATGCCAGTGCTGATTATTGGGATTGCGATAATAGGGTAATCCACAATTCACATGGTTTAGATGATTACGTAAACGGGTGGGAAATTCTGCTCTATCAAACCGTATAATTGTATCATTTTGGTCACTGGCATATTATGTAATGCCTTGGCCACATTTGCTCCGATTCATCGGCCGACGCCGGCCGATTGAATATTCTGTTCAGAACTGAATACAATTGTGAACAGGATACTCAATCGGCAGGGCGACGGCCGATGAATCCGAGCAAATGTGACCCAGACATTAGATAGGTAGGTTACCTTAGTGTATTCAAATCCCCATGCCAGTTGGGTTTTAACAGTTCACAGGTCATTCAACTATTTAATAAAGAAATTTAAAGTACAAGCGGAAATGTGTTTAATTGAAAAATTTGTAAAAAAAACTGACGTCAGGCCGATTGAAAATACACAAAACGATATACGTCAGATGTCCAGGCTTACTTTATAATAAAAGAGCGTTGACATGCAACGAACTAAAAAAATCAGTGAGGGCTTTGACTCCAGCTGATATGCTAGAAAGAATTATTTTCATTTTGCATGTTAAGCTTTCATAATAGGGGAAATTAAAAAAAGTTTGAAATCATTTTATAGTACACCTGAATTTTTTAGAAGAATTTGTATGAATTGACATGACGTCAATATTTGATTTTATAATCGCCACACCTAGGTGCAGTGTGACAAACGTTCAAACCATGTCCAATTTTTCTTTGTAAGAATATTTATTTAATGTTTAAGTGTTGTTTTGAGTTTAATAAAATCAGATTATAAACAAATACACTGTCTTGTGTGATATCTGTCTATGAGCACATCTAAATGGGGTAGACCTAATCAATGACGATAATTGTTGTTGTTGTGACACCCCTTTTTGACGGTAAAACTACATTCAGGGAGTAGCCAAAACCTCATCTTGCAGCTATCTAAACATCCATATCCATTTGTTTGTAAAATAATATGTCATCATAAAGTATTCACAAAAATGCTAAGATTTTTTGAGTATTTGTTTTATGGTCCTCTGTCTGTATGCAGAAGGTATGGCCGAGTCAATATTAAAATTTATGATCCCATTGATCTGTCAATGTGCATTTGAATTAAATTAAATGAAGTATTCAACCTATATGCAAGCTAGATAGATACACTATATATATTTGAAAATAATCCAGATTTTGTTTCACATCATGTGTAACCTTGACAATAATTTATTTTAAACATTTCAAAAATTGAATTTATGTAATCGGAAATGACACATTACGATTCACTAGTCCCAAAATAACATTGCAATTTGTACTTGTGGTATTGTATAAAAATAATTTAGAATCCGGAAGTCCACACATGGAGTAGAAGCCACAAAAACAATTTTGCAATAAAAAACACAGCATGCTTTGATATCACTTGTCGCATCTCCAAAAATGCGAGGCATGATGTAATCATACCGGAATAGCCTGACAACGGTAAAGTCAGATACCGTTGTCACAAATGGCGTTCCACATAACCGTCGCTTCATTTAGATTTTCATGAACTGCATGTTTAATAGAGCACCTAGACGAAATTCCTTTGGAACAACAATCAATAAAAGTGTCTTTATACTAATTGTACAGTTAATAATGTTCTACCATCGAAATGAAGTCTTTAATTTAACCGATCAAAATTAGATACGGGACAACGGAGACTGTATTACAACATGCCGTTGTCTTTGTAAATCATTTCAAATTTAGATTCCGTTGTCATTGACGATATCGAAATTCGATCGAAATTGGGATTTCATATGATACATCATCACAAGAGCTTAATACATGCACAGAATTAGCGACGATAAAATCCCATGAAATGAGGACCAAGTGATTAAAGAGCGGAAGCGACGGTTATGTCCGCCATTTGTAACAACGATATCTGACTTTACCATTGTAAGGCTATTCCGGTGTGGAAATGTAATATTTAGTTTGAATCAAAATGCAAATAGCATTGTACATCTATTGTACTTTTGGAGTCGTGATACAAGTATATTAATCAGTTTGAGCGCAGATGGGCTACTTTAAAGTTACAAAGACGTGCTCTCTTAAGACACAAAGTCAGACAATATGTTTTTTGGAGGGGGGGGGGGTTCTGTTCGATATAATAATATGTATGACGGCAAACACAGCATATAATATGAGAATCTGGTTTATGAATGAACTTAGCTAAACGAACTTGTACACGGATGTGTAAAATTATGGTTTAACTGTGATAAATTCTCCCCTCCGGTAGTATTCACTTGCAATTGTTGGGTATAAAGGTATTAGGAAAATAGTTTTAACAAGGTCCATTGTAAAATCAAATGAGAGGGTGGGACAGTAATCCATAGGGGTCATAATGTTACACGTCTTCGCAATATCTCTTAAAACGTGTTCGTATTACCCCAGACCCCCACCGATTCTCACACTATGTAATGTCAGAATGATGCGTAGCTTGTCGTTCATATTATTCAAATATTGACTGTCCATCGAATTGAATTATATATGAATATGTAAATACAGAATGATAATACTAGCAATTAAGACTAAGCATATTAATATTTCAAACTCTTTTATAATGGCCACTCAATTTTTTAAATAAAATGTGAACATACAACTCAGAACAATTATCTAGTTTCAAGTCACACGTTTATTCCCACCATATAGTATAAACATTTATGCAAGATGGTCCTTGTGCCTTGTGTTCATAAATAGCAGATGTACGTACTGGCTTCAGTGGCGTAGCTACGTGTACGCCAAGTACGCCCAGGCGTACTCTCAAATTTTAAGGAAAAATAAAATTTACCTGATTAATTGTGATGAAAAATAAATATTTTACCAAGAGATAGAAATCGATAGGAGATCTATGAAGACTCGTGTTAATAAATAAAAAAGTTCTCAAATATTTCATTTTCTTTGTTTTGAATCAGTTAGCTACTGATAATTAGAGAATTTTATTTCGTTTCAGTTGAGTTGACATTTCTTCCTTGGCCATGATACATATCCATAGGGAACAGGATATAAACATTGATACTGTTATTGACATGTTCGCAAATGCAAAAAACAGAAAGATAGAATTTATTCTATAGAATCACGTACAGATTGTTAAGATCCGAAATGGAGTTGAGACGGTCGTGTAACTGTTCTTTTATTGTTAACCATCTTGTGAGCTAGATAAAAACAAACACAGAAAAAATAATAATATTTCATGGAGAATGACCACAAAAGCTTAAAACAATGAGCCTCATACATACAGTTTTAGGTAGCCTAAAAAATAAAATCGCCTTGATAGACGGCTTCGATCGCCGGTGGCATGATTATATAGAATCTGTCTATTTTGTTTCCCGAATATTATCTGTTAATACAGTTAATTCAATCCCTTTAACAATACATATTTCCTTCATTGAATTAAGAGTGTTTAGTGTGTCCCCTATCTTCTGAAAACCCGGGATCTTCCTATTTTATGGAACCATCGTTTTGTTAATTTTGATAAAACCGGGAAATCATACGGGCGTACACTCGCAAAATGGGCTAGCTACGCCTCTGGGCTTAGTGTACAAATTACAATTTCGGATGATTATATATGATTATATATCCTCTTCTGGGTATACCTATAAAAAAAGATTATCTTATATGAGGTTCGGGATATTGGGATTATCCCGAGGCGAATATAATATGTTTTTGTTAAATTTGTTGAAAAAAGACATTTACAAATTACAGTTTGTAATGCTTAGAATCATGGGCTTTAATACAACCACACTTAGAACTCCTGCTGCAGATTTTAATGGATTCTGTTTTTACATGATATCATGTAATGACTCTACTGACTCTATATACATGTCATATGGATGTTATTACAAGGATTTTTCCTGACAAATAACCATTAATTTGATCCAGGTTAGGCACTGAGTTAGTTCAATAATTGGCCACCAGGCGGTAGGTTGAGAGAAATAGGGCGTCTTTAGGTTCGTAACTTTAAATTACACCCACTCTGCCACGCTACCCATCCAGATAATTTCATTATCTTTCCCTTAATTCCAGCGTCTGCTGAGATTAGTATAAATTTATTTGCCCCATATGTATGTATTTATTATTTCAGAAAAGGGATTCATTACTACGCGATTGTCCCATGAAATCTAACTTGAAAGAACCCTAGGCCTTGCTCTAGAACTCACATTTGTTAAGTGGAAATGAACTCACCGATTTCGCTGATAAATTCTTGCCAAAATGTTACCATCGACTTACAGTAAGCATGTTGTGTAACAAAAGTAAATGAATTTTAATGTTATTGGGCCAAGTTGTTATAAAAGCTAACCGGCCTTTCCCAAAACTGAATTTTCGGCTAGTGCGCCAAAGTTTCTGGATGCATTGTGATAACGCTCGGAAGCGACTAAAGTTAAACACAGGCTCTATTAAAGTAGGTTTGGTTGACTGGATATAATAACATTTTAAGGTATTCGCTAGGTTGAAAAGCTTAAGTTTGTGGTTTATGGTTTGATTTAACAGAAGATATTCATTTTAACACCTAGAAAAAATATTTTTCAAAAATAAAATTTTCAAAGTGACTTTAGTATGTTTATTTTTATGAAGACTTATCGCAGAGGTCTGGTTTATTGAAATTAAGTAATCATGTAGAAATGAATGTCTTCGTGTTCGTACTTAATATATATACAAATCAGGATTAAATGCAACACTCTCGTAATGTGTGGTATTTATATCGCAGTGTTTCAGAGGTAGAACATTTAAGGTCGCATATAAGTATTAACGATGTGAACTATACAAACTCAGCAATTTACGTGACAAAATGTCCCAATTTCGTTACAAAATGTCACAACATGCTAATCGTGTTGTAAAGTGTAACAATTTGTTGAAGACGCTAATCGCTGACGTCGAACTCCGCCATACAATATAATATAAACGCTTTAACAACATGTCACTAGTATCTCTTCGTTATGACATAAAAATGGAATAAAAGCGATATACAATGGTTACCTTATCATTATGTACAAATTGTATAATCACATTTCAGAAAATGTACAGAGTACAGAAACGACATCTTTATCACAAAAAACATGTTAAAACCATATCATAAATATTTACAACAACGTCGCTACTGCACCCATGGCTATACATGACTCGGTAGCTGTATGTAAAACATAGTCCTAATGAAATAAGGTAGAAAAATATCTTAAGTTCCACAGCCTTTAGTTATGCATCATAGAATTCCTTCATCCTAGCATTGCTCAATATAGCGTAACACCGAAAAACAAGATAATAACAACTAATACGCCAACCGCTGTTACAGACGCCCAATGCCATCCACAAAAAGTTGGAGACCATAACAATATGCCAACGCTTGTGTTGGTGACATAAAAATTCAAATGAATTGTTCCATCCGTCTGGATGAATTGAGATGCTTAGTTACTTCGTTCAGTTTTAGATGGGCATATTTCATCGATACAGTGTATTATGCTGGGAAAAGTTGCTAAATTGTCTTAACTGCACTCGATCATTTTTAGAGGCTTGGCTCCCCGGGGCGTAAAGATGGTATAACATTTAGGTTTATCAATTGCACAACCCCGGGGAGACTCTTGAGCTCTATCACATCCGGGTGTTTGATATCATAACCCAGAGCGCCCCCTGGGCTAGTATAAGTTACTCCTCTCCCTTGATCTTGTTGAATGCATCTACGATCATAGTCTGGAATTCTGCAGTATACACGGCCCAGTAGGCGCAGTTGAAGATGACAAAGAAGACAGGGAATATGATACGTGAGCAGTTGTCGACATATTGCGCTGTACAACCCCTTCCCTTGTTATAAGCCAATACTGAGCTACGGTCTCTTTTCTTGTTACCCTTCTGAAAATCAAAGAAAAAGCATTTATACCTCTGAAACACGAAACTAACTGAATGGAATCTCAGGTACATATGTATACGGGGTGTTATCTTACTAAATATAGGTACGTGTACATAGAAATGTATAATAACATTAAAAAATAAATTGTGATATCCATTGGCAAAATGAATAACCGGAGGATCGCCTCGATAAACTCCAGAAAACCAATATGCAGATGATATTGTGACGATATACTCCGGAAAACCCAATATGCGGAGGATATTTTGAGGAAATACTTCGCTTGTTGATTTCCCGCCAAATTGACTCTATTTGGCATGAAATTCATTTTACAATGATATTATACACTCCTTGTAAGTGTAGGACAATAAGAACATCCTATGATTTTTTCAGAATATCATTTTAATCTACTCGGTGATATTAATATATGTACTCGTTTGCTCTGCTCTCTCCTGCAGATATCAATATCACTTCGTAGTTAAAAACGATATTCCTCAAAATCATAGGATATCCTATAATTGCGTCACTTATAATTGTGAAATTCTTCTTTCTCACCAACGGAGTCGTTGTTACATTTTTTTAATACGTTTGGAATAGCATGCTCAATATGGACATTCAGAATTACCTTTCCAGTTTCTATATCTCTATGCCTTGCCTGCTTATCTTTTTCAACCGTGGACATAACATTGACAACGGCGTATTCTAACAGGGCAAGGAACACAAATAACATGCATGCTGCCATCCACACGTCCATAGCTTTAGGGTAAGACACCCTTGGTACCTGCAACAGACATAGGGTAGGTTTTGCCAAGTACATGGGGCAAAAAGCATATTGGGTACCCGGGGTGGGTACCTATACCTCCTTCACGGAAATAAATATATATCAAAATATATTACATGTTTTGTTTTCAAATCTTCAGAGTTGATAGATAATTAAATGATGTATCACTGGTAAGAAAATCGAAGGTATTGGTCTATAAAAAGCATCCGTGTAAAAAAGCGTCCATTACTTATTGATCACCCCTCGTATATATATCATATAGTTTGGTTTAAATCACATTGAACTTGATTGTTATCGATTTTGTAACTTCCCTGCCTGTTTTGTAACTTCCCTGCCGAAATTGTTTTTCAAACGCTTCCAAATGAGCTTACCGTTCGTGTGTTATTACCAGGATTTGCATTTTTTTCAATGAAAATTATGACTACAACCATACGTAAACAGAATTTTGGTATAATTTCACAAAGAGAAAAAACGGCTATTTTCTAAAATACATAGGACTGTTACTTTATTTCAGGATACATTCGATCTATTTATCAGCCAATGAAATGAAAATATGAATTGAAACATTTTCTACATACCACTACAATGTATTCAAAAACTTTGTATTTGAAATTGGTATGCTTAGTGAAGATTGCTTGCAGCAAACTAGAGATATTCCATTTCCTTTAAAAGATAAGTGAAGGCATATCCCTCGTCTACAACGACAATTCGTTGCCAAAGTGAGTTATTTTTAAAATATGATCAAATTCTATACTAAGAGGGCTGATCTGAAAAAGTCACTCCACCTGGTGGGAATCGAACCCACAACCCCCTAATTACATATCGAGTGCTCTGTAGTGAAACCAACTATTACATATCAAGATAAGTGTTGACATACCCCTTGTCTAGAGCCTGTTAGTTGTGTGGTCATAGTGAGGACTGTAGTGATACCGAGTGCTATTCTTGCAGGTACAGCCTCCTTATTAATCCAGAACGCCACCCAAGAGAGAATAACGATCAGCATCGACGGTATATAAGTCTGCAACAGGTAGTATCCTATCTGTCTCTTTAAATGAAACACTGCTCTCAACGAGGAAAAACTTCCTACAAATCAACATATTTGATGTGATAAAGGGTTTTAAATACATACTTGCCTTGTCATTGCGAATTACAAGTAGGCTAGTACCTGTAAATACATTTTATTCTTATATGGCGATTGTAGGAAAACGATGACCATTGAATATGAAAATAGCTATAGGCTATACTTATTAACTATTTATTAAAGTACCAACAAACAGATTCTACATCTAATAACTACTTTTACATTTGGGGTAATGTGCATTAGATGTTCGTGGGTTACCCATTTTAATTTGGTAATCGTTTATCATAATGCTATTTATTATTTTATATCTCAGTGTTTGGTAGGGGCATGGCATTATCTCTAGAAATAAAAAATGAGAGCATTTGCTAAGAAACTTTCTGGTCTGGCCTCGTATATTAGGTACAGTTTTCAGGAATTGACGCATTTTTGTTATACTACACGATATGCCAATGCATAACGCAATGACCAATATCATATTGTATATCATCAGCATATTACGCATGCTGATAAAAAATTAAGAATAACTTTATTGAAGCATGCTTTGATAAATTAAACTCATTAACAAAGAAGGATCAAATAGATAAATGGTTAATCTGACATTGCTACGTCCACATGCAGTGCAGCAGCCTGGAAAATTGAACAGAACTCATAGTAAAATGAGTACATTCGTAGGAAATACACTTCTCACCATAGGTTTGGTAAGCGCAAGGCTGGATCACTGTTCAAAACCAGTGAGCAGGGTGTTCCAAAAGTAACAGGACATGTGCTGGCATTTTGTTAAAATCAATCTGCACCAAATGCCTTCAAAACTTTGCATAATGTACTTTCAGGTATTGCAACTCAATCTGTAAAGTTTCTTAAAAAATATATAATTTTTAGCGATTAAAGAAAATAATAAAAGTCATTTGCCGAACTATCGTAATCGAGGAACAAATTGAGACACTGATATGCTATCAAATGAAAACTTCCCAGTTGTCAAACTTATAGAGGGGAGTGTACATGAGCAGTAAAAGACCTTTGCATGCATCGCATAACTATCAGAAAATAAGAATATAAAGCCATGCAAAACATTAATAGCAGAGGAGTGCATATTTGTTTACTTGTTTTGAATGCCACTATTGAGGAAATCGACAAAGTGGCACAAGATCTGTGTGGATGCGTCGTCGTAACTACTTGTCCACAGTGAATCACGAGTAGTATATTACAAATTTTAATTGATCGCAATAATTTTGCATACAGCTCACTAAGATTTCATTTTTACATAACAGTATATCTTGGACCACTGAACAAAATCATGAATAGTATACTATATGTATTATTTTACAATCATCCTAATTGTTATTCGGCAATGTCACAAGGACACAATGATGCCTCGCATAATGCTTCAAGTTTCATAAATCATTTATCTTGAACGATATATCTGAGAGAACGATATTTTCGTGAAGAAAAATGACACACAACAGGAATCACTTGGATCATCAGCAAACACTTATTAACCAATTTGCAATATTACATTTGCAATTTTTAAATCATACGATTGCTACAAACGGAGATGCATCCATCATATATAGTACCAATATTAAAATATGTTTGTATTGGTGCAGCATTAACTACACAAAACTACGGTGGCAATGACAACATACTCATTCAGGTTTCCATGGCGACAAGCTACCTGTTACGAAAACAGCCTTATCGGTATATGTGTCTGGTAGATGATAGAATATAAAGCTTGGCATTTGTAGGGTGGGGCTAAATTCTATAGGATCAACGTCCGACCACACTAATCTGATATCATCCTCATCATAGACATCTACAAAAAGGGATTTAAGGATCATCACTTCTTGTGATCACGATTTATGGTGTGGCGATGGGTGCCAAATAAAAATGTACTAAATCAGTCAACATTTTTGATTTATACATTGTGAAAATGGCATGGGCTGTAGGTAGAAACGTTTCCAAACTTTCAAAAAATCCATTTTCGTTATAAGCATTGCTATCTACATCCTCTGACATCACGAGCCTGGTAAATACACCCTGTCCTGTTGGAAAAGATGGCAAACTTGTAATAATCATACCATTGAATGTAGTATAATGTAGTAGTGATAGCCTTACCATTGAATCATTTACGAGTTTTATATGATAGTCATACCCAATGCCATATGATAGAATAATATCACATGATTGTTATACCATTGGATACGGTGGTCATCAATGAGTTTATATCGTATGTAATCAGATGAATAACTGCCATCGAAAGTCATACCATTCAATATAGTACCAATCGGATGTATAAGTTACAGTCGTCCTAATATGAACTAGTCACTAGCATAAACAAACATATTAATAGAAAAAGACATGTTATCATATATTAGAGGATCACAACAACGCATAGTGAACAGGTAAGAATAATGTTACAGAACAGTATAGGATGACAAGAGGTATCCAATATTTTTCATGATGCTTATAGCATTGTGTTTTGACCATATCAAACCCCTTTCGAATTCCCATAGGAGCAAAATTGGGTTCCCTTTAGCTCGATATTTTTGCATAAAGAGATGTTAAACAGGTTCATCCATCTACTCGCAATTTATAAGATACAGACTTCTACGTTTACGATATCAATTTTATGATTCAACTTGTAAGTAGTCCAAGATATTATATTTTGTGGTACATTTCCTAAATTTAAATTGTTGTTTTCAAAAATGTATCCAACCCTTCAGGATTTCAAATGAGCCAAACCTTTATCAGATTTATAGTCATATTGGAGAACCTCTCATATTCACTAAAGTCATGCTTCAGGGTGGCATGAAATTATAACTGTTTCTTGTAGGTTGAAACATCCAAAGCTGAAAGTTAAAATTATTAATAAAATGGAAGTTAATTACATAGATGGTAGACACTACACAATAGTATTCGATTCCAGAGTTCATACGAGAGGTAAATCATATACAATCACTCTAACGCCCGAAATGACGTGACGTAATTTGAAGCCAGTTTTACTAATAGTGTGATAGATTGTATATACATCTCGTAGAAACCTTCTCAGATTAAACAAAGCTTTTCTCTCCAGTACCTGTCCTCGAGTAGCTTCGATTTCTACTCGATGCTTTTACATCATCTATTTTGAATTGTGCCAAGCCTACAGTACTTGGGATTTCGACTCCCTGATTCTTAAGGCTATGGTCTGGTTGCCATTGCAATTCAATGTCGTCGGACTCATAGACAACTAGAAGTCAGTAAATTATTTGTTACAAATTTAGGATTTCATTTAGTTTATAATTTATTTTATTTATTTATTTACAGTGGTCAGTCTTACATTTCAATAAGATATAAAAAATAACAATTTTACCCAGCCAACCTTGGGCTTACATGTATTAACAACTGTTAACAATAGAACATTCAAAATTAATACAGAGGTCTACGAAATGGTGTAACGAATACACTGAACTAATTGATCAGAAACCATAATAGTTGAAGGCTTAGGGGGATAAAAATGTTTATGAAAATATGGCAGTGCAGTTAACCTTCAATTTCTTTAGAGAAATTGTTAACATGCTATACTAATGTCGTCTTTCGTCCTAAAATACATATTCATTTTAAAAAATTGAATAAACATTTCATTTAGAAATTACTTAGTTTCATACTGAAGTTTATGCTGCCATCTTTTGACAGAAATTATTTCTATATGATACTTGATATATAGTATGATTTGTGTAGGGTATAGCAGTATAGTTCAGTTGCGTGTAATTGACATATCATTACTTTGCCACATGTCTATGTGCTGAGCCCTTATTCAACCCAGTAACACCTCAGTCACATTTCCCACGGCCGCCGTGCGGTCTATCATTTCTTCGGCCAGTAGCTTTTCTACGCTCACCGTAGAATTTCTGCGCTCTCATACTTTTGCAGTCACATTTCCCACGGCAGCCGCACGGTGAATTTTAAATTGCTATTGATAAATAATATTTTTTTTCATTTTATTTACATCAGGACAATTTATAAATGTTATTCGATAGTGCTAGGATGTAATATCAAATGAAAAGTGATCGTGAAACATTGACAGATAATGATTCAATCTTGTTGAACCAGTTGATTTCTACGGGGACCTCAGAAATGAACAAATATTATAACTCCGAGTCATAATTTTACGGCGACCCTCTGGCCTGTAAAAAACTGGATACGCCGTACGGAGACCACAAGGCGAGCGTAGTTTTTCTACGCTCGCCGCAAAAATTCATTGATTTAATTGATCTGCGGTCGACGCACGGCCTCCGTACCGCAAATGTGACTGGGGTGTTAGTAAATAGAATTATGGAAAACAGATCTAAATGCTCTGATTTTGCTATGACGTGTTGTATCTTTTGATTATTTTGTATGCTGAAATATGTTATTGTATAAAATGGCTTAAAATGGATAAACGATGGAAACAAAGATAATGTAACTTACAGCTTTCAATGTTCAAGGCACATTCCTGGGTATCCAGTGGAAAGTCTGTGAGGAGCATAGGGCAGGACAGGACTAAAGTCAACCTGAAATATGTGAATGTATGTACAGTTGATATATACGTATGTCAAGCGTTTTTCAAATAATATAATTCATTTCATCATGATCACTAACAAGTTTTAATACTTTTATGATATACTGGAAATGATTACTCAAAATCCAGACTAGATATAATTCATTCCAGACGCACAGCAACACGAGTCTTGGAGCCTGTTATTATGTAACATTTTGTATAACATTATGACATAAATTGAACTGAAGGCCGGAGACCTGTACACTAATTAAATTGATTTTAACTTCCAAATATGTATGAGACACCAACTTTTGAAGTTCAACTTTGACAAATAGAGTAATTCATTATACCCGGTGATTCTAGCTTTAGTGAAATCTGTATATTCGCTTTGGAGCACAGTGGAATTGTTTGGAAAACAAGATGACTACGGGCCCGGGTGAGATTTTTTCGTCAGAATTCTATACATTTTTAATCAATAGGATATAGATCAAATATCCACAATATTATGTACATGCGTAAGGATGTCCTGCATCTGATCTTCTAAGCATTGGATAAGGCAGTTGCAGGTCATGCTTTGGAGAGTTTACAGCAATAAGGAGTGTAAGCTTGCATACAAAATCGAAACGCCAACCTATAAGTATGACCATTCGCTCATACAAATGCATCGCTTAAATATCTTACGTTCGCGTTTAGGTTGTGAAAAACAGTGGTAGCTTAAGCTCTCTATTAGCAAAGAAAAACCACCTATACATGTACCTTGGTTTAGTAAGTCATACGAAATACGTTATCAGTGATACCGATCGTCCAAAATAATCCAGTTGGGTGTATTATTCGTAGGCTATATCTACCTGATGCTATAGGTGACAGTCCCATTGGGGGTTACCCTAATCAGCTTATTGGGAATGATCATTGTATGAAGCTCGCCCTTCTTCTCGTTTGGGAAATAAAGTGGCGGGGTCCAGATATTCTTGATGCTTTCAGATGTTAATGTTATATAGCGCTGTTTTCCACCCTCATATTGTAGGCGTGGGTCATTCCATTCTTGCCTCAAGAAAAAATCCAGCGAGTAATCCTGATAATATAAAACGTAAACAAAGTGAGAGGATTATACGAGTATTATATTTGGTTTTTGACGCAGTGTTTTTTAACTAAAAGTATCTGCCATCGGATATATATTTCTAATTATTCTGATATTTAATGCCATGACGACTATGATGGATGTGATGGATTTGACGGATATGGTGTGGTGTTTAATAAGAGAGACAGATCATGAATGCATAGTGTAGCCCCAAAAATGCACAGCGGAATAACATCTTCAATGATATTGGGAACGATTTCTCCAAAGGAAGATGGAAAGTATGCAACAGATTTTAGACAGTCATATCTTGGATTCTGGCTATTTTCTTAGGATTTAAACAGGTGCATATGATTGGGCAATGCATTACCTCTAGAAAAAGTACTCATAGAGATGATATAAGATAGTTTCGACTTTGAGACAGGGAAGATGTAAACAACCCATCCACATTTTTTTCTGAAATGTTGTCCTGATTTTCAACCACTTCCACCACTGCTTTTTCAATTTATGTTACATCAATGTGTTGCGTTTTGACACAGTTAATCCCTCTTTAGAGGAATAAGTAATTCCTTCGGGTTTTTTAAGGATATCCATTATGGGTGGCCAAAATTGAGCTGAAAGCAATGGATCGCATGAGTTTTGCCTATGGGAAAATAACATGGAAATATTGTTTTCTAATTAGGAACTTATATCTTTAATGGGGTCAATTGTGTCTCAAAGTGCAACATATTGATGTAACAAAAATTGAGAAAACAGGGATGGAAGGGGTTGAAAATCAGAAAACATTTCAGAAAAAACATATTGGTGGGTTGTTTGCACCTTCCCTGTCTCTATCTTATCTGCATCTGTATGAGTATTTTTCCCGTAGGTTTACATTGGCCTAACATATGCACCTCAGAAAACTGAAAATCCAACATATGACTATCTGAAATCTGTAGCGATAATAATTCAAGAGGGTCTTATAATGATTGACTTTATCCATCTACGATTACGGATATAGTTGTATTTTTGGGCCAATCAACATATCCCGTTCTCTTGTACGCAATCCTGCATTTTCTAGGTCGAGAGATGAACCTCTTGGGTAATAAATAATTAAAATGTTATCTAAAATAATTAGAAGTAGCTTTGTTTCACATCAAGTGTCAGTTATATAGTGATTAACCAGCATATACTTACGATGTTTTTCTTATATTTCTATATTTGCCACCCCAGTATTCAAAAACATATTGGAGAATTGGTGAGGATAATGGTATTATTTGTTTGGAACAACAAATCGGGCATATTAAAGCAACATTCGGAGATTGCAAGTTTCTTATTATGGGGGACCTGAATGCGAGAACCGGGAATGAGTGTGACTATATATTAAATGATGATATTCAAAATTTGCCGATTGGTGCTGATTGGTATGATGTTGATACCTTTTCACTTCCACGATGTTCAAGTGATCACACTACAAATGAGTTTGGCAGAACCTTCTTAGAAGTTTGTAAAGAATGTGATATCCATATATTGAACGGTCGTTTTTCGGGGGATAAAGATGGAAACTACACATATATAAACACATCCATGGGGCGCAGCGTCATTGACTATGGTGTATGCTCATCAGACCTCTTCAATTTTATAAATAATTTCACTGTGGGCAATATTAATACATCTGAGGGAACGGATCATTTTCCAATAACTTGTGATCTCAAATTGATGTTACATTCAGCAAATAGAAATGATCAACAAAACATGCGACAATATGACAGGTATATTTGGAAGCCTGATAAAGTCAATATATTTAAAAGCAAAATTCGTGACCAAACATCCCAAAATATATTAAGGGGATTTAACGATATGATTCAAAATGGAAACATAGATGGTGCTGTTGATAAAATTGTGAAATGTATTAACTATGGAGCTGAATGCATGAAAGTTAAACTGAGGAATCAAAATACAAAAACTGATGATTGGTGGGATGGTGATTGTGCAAAATTAAAGAAAAGAAAAATAAATAGTCTTCTTAATTATAGGAATTCAAAATCAAATGAATCTTTAATTGCCTATATAACAATCAAAAAAGAGTTCAAGCTATTATGTAGAAATAAGAAACAGGTATATGAAAATGAATTTATGAGCAAATGTAGAGATTGTATGAATGATGTAAATAAATTATGGCAATTGATTAAGTATGTAAAAGGGTCTCAAACAAAAGGTCATATTTCACCAGTCGAATGGTATGAGTATTTCAAAAATTTGCTTACTACAGATTCCGATATAAATAAAGACTTTCAAAATGTTGTAGATGACTTTCTCAAAAATCATGACCAAAATGATTGCAATCAATGTTTACAAAATTTACCAGATGAACTGAACTGTAATATATCTGTAGTGGAAATTGAAAATGTAATTACAAATTTAAAAAGTAAGAAAGCCCATGGTATAGATGGGATCACATATGAGATGTATCAAAATAGTTATGACACTTTAATGCCATATGTTCATTTATTGTTCAATTCTATCATGTCAAATGGCTACTTTCCAAATTTGTGGAGCGAGGCTATCATTGCAGCATTATTAAAAAAACCACCAGTTGACAATGTTAATAATTACAGGGGTATATCTTTACTTTGTACACTTGGTAAGATTTTTACAAAGGTTCTAGCGAATAGATTTATTAAGTGGGCTAAAACAAATCATAAAATAGGTGACCATCAAGGAGCATATCAAGAAGGCAAAAGCACTTATGATCATATATTTAGTCTCTCTGCTATGGTAGAAAAATATTTATGTAAATCCAGAGGGCGCTGTTTTATAGCATTTGTTGATTTTAGCAAGGCATTTGATTCTATTCCTCATAAGCAAATGTGGTATAACTTACTTAAGGAGGATGTTCATGGAGCTTTTCTCAAAACATTACAATCTATGTACTGTAAATTAAAATCATGTGTTAGAACACCAGATGGTCTTACCCAATCATTTATGTGCCAAGTAGGTACAAGACAAGGTTGTATGATTAGCCCTTTTCTGTCCATTTTATATTTAGAACAGTTAGTAAAAATGTATAAATGTTCAGAAATTGAAGGAATATTTGTAACAGAAAGTGTGGATAATGTACATATACTTTTATACGCAGATGACATTGGTCTTTTAAATCATACTGTTGAAAATATGCAAAATCAGCTAAATATACTATCAGAATTTTGTGATAAATTTGGCATGAATGTGAACCTTTCGAAAACTAAAATCATTGTATTTAGAAATGGTGGTATTGTTAAAAAGGATGAAAAATGGCTATACAAGGGTAAAAATGTAGAAATAGTTTCTTATTACAAATATCTGGGTTTAATGATTTCTTCTAGGTTAAACTGGTCAGTCGCAACCAAAACACTAGCCAATCAAGGTGGAAAGTCACTACATGTCATAAACCAAATCTCAAAATTAGGTGGCTCATTATCATTTCAAATGGGATTCAGACTTTTCGATTCTCTGACGCTTCCTATTTTAACATATGGCTCAGAAATATGGGGTTTTAAAGTTTACGACCAAGTGGAAAAGGTTCAAAGAAAATTTTGTAAATCATTTCTTAAAGTTGCATCACAAACAACAAATGAGGCAGTTCTAGGGGAATGTGGACGATACCCATTATGTACAATATATATGTCAAAATGTGTAAAATATTGGTTAAAACTAAATATGGAGATGGAAAATGGGAGAATCCCAAAACATTGTTATTCTATGTTAGAGAACCTTGATTCAACAGGCCATATTACATGGGCAACACATGTTAGAAAGTTATTGTGTACAAATGGCTTTGGTGATGTTTGGGCTTTCAAAGAAGTAGGTGATGTGGACCTTTTTATTTTAAGTTTTAAGCAGAGGCTAAAAGACATTTACTGTCAAGAGTGGGCTGCTAGACTTTCAGAATTACCAAAAATGGTAACATATTGTAATATTAAAACAGTGATGGAAAGAGAAAAATATCTTTCCTGTGTAAATATAAATAAATTTAGAGTTGCTCTAACTCGATTGAGATGTAGTAATCATTCATTAGAAATTGAAATGGGTCGAAGAAATAATGTGCCCAGGGAACTACGGTTTTGTAAGTTCTGTTTAGCAGCAAATGTTAATATTATTGGAGATGAGTACCACATGGTTATGATATGTGAGAAATTCAGATCTCTAAGAAAAATGTATTTGCCAGATTATTATTGTTATAGACCAGATATGGTAAAATTTATACAGTTAATGTCAACTGAAAATGAAAACTTAATTTGTAATTTAAGTTGTTTTGCTTATCACTGTCTAAAATTGTATGAAAATTAACTGTAACTAGGAGGCCTGTGGCCTTAGAAGTATTGAAATAAACATTATTATTATTAAAAAAAAAAAAAGATTAACCAGCAATCTACACAATGATCTTTTAATGCCATTTCCAGGTTCGAATCTCGGGAGGGGTTTGGATTATTATTTTATAAATAAGCTCATTGGCTAGTATAGTGCCTAGGAATCAATCTAGGATAGCTATAATCTTTTTTATTGCTTTGGTGATGATGAGTGAATGAAAATCATTGCTCGAGAATTTTGTCCCATTGAGAAACCAGAGTTCTAGATTACGTGCAACAATAAAAACAGTTGTTTGATGTTGCTACAGAACTCTACTTTAATTTAAGCAAAATATATGAATTCCTTTGTGTTTCAGATTCTCAACGGCACCAAAATATCCCCTGTACCGTTTTGATATCGAAATTTTGAATTTTTGAGGCATTGTCACCAAATATTGTTCATCACCTCTACAAGTTCGACAGTGATAAAGTTCTTTTAAACAACACGTATGCCTGTTAATATACCTAGCTGGTATATCAACTTAAACAATCCATCAATTTTGTCCTATAAACCATAAACATGATTTTGAGACATTATGGAATTTATGAAAGAAATATTTAGTTTTAAAACTTACCATGTTAACCTCACTTATTGAACCAAAGCTGCTTATAAACACCTGACATTTAACTATAACTGGTGGACCTGAAAAATAAGTTGCAATGATTGACAGTTCAAATAAAAAGTTCAGAAGTCGATTTATTCTTATTCGTAGAGCTTAATAGGCCCAAGTCTTCGTCCAAATATGAGTCTAACGTGGCTGATAATGCTGATGCCCAGCCACAAGCACATGTGCACTTGTTTAATGCATTCTTTCAGGGAAGTGAAGAAAACTCCTATGAAAAGTTTGTCAACACCATTATTCCCTAACACGAAGTGATTTAAATAGGCTATCCAATGGACACCCAGGATTACACACGTCTGTTCAAGAGAAGAGCAAAATTAGAGTTGCGCACCCAAAGTGATATATAATCCTATGGAGCATTGAATCTCTCTGTAAATCTCATATAAATGAAGGATTGATTCGAACATGGATCATTTTGGACTTATTTTAGAGACATACAGATTTCCAATTTCGATGAGTTGGGTGACCGGGGACGACGGGTTAAGTCCCATTACAATTCTATTCCGGTTATTAGAACAAGTATATATATTGTACTATATCAACCCCATAATATCAGATTGTATCATTCCATCTCGGTTAGATGATCTATAATGCCTGGATCACATGTGCTCCGATTCATCGGCCGGCGCCCGGCCAATTGAGTATTTTGTTCAAAATTGTATTCAGTTTTGAACAAACTAATAACGTCATTTCTGCGAGCAATATAGTGAAATATTGGACCTTGGGCCTTCGGCCCTCGGTCCAATATTTCACTATATTGCCCTTAAAAATGACGTTATTGTACTATTGCCCTTTGTTGTTGTTTTTTGGGGAGGGGGTAAATGCATATTATCTGATATACGTACTGTGTCTATCGTGTTAATTGTACATTGGCGTAGCATCTCTAGAATGTTTGCCATAGACAATTCCAATGTACAGTGCAGTATGATAATGAAATATGAACTATATTAATAGGGCTAATGGGATATTGTTTGCAGATGTAAAAAAGGAAGCTTATGGCATATTTCGTCAAGGCAATTAATTTGATGGAAACGTAAACTTTATTGTATCATGTTTTAATCAGCAAATATTAGATGGATGGATGAGCATTATTATCTCGTAGAACTATATCGTATGATTCAATACATTACAGGCATTACAAGCCGCCGGTGTTGAGAACACCTGATATAAAATATTAACATATTAATTACTAACTTCGGGGGATCCCAAGTTTTTATTGAAGCTTTTTAACGTTTGACCATGCAACTTGCCCATGAATATAAAACTTTGATCACTCATCATAAATAAGTATTATTTACTTCTAATTAAAGGCCAGCCCCTGATACAATATTTTGTCCAACAGTGCAATTGTGCAAAACTAAAATGAATTTTGAGAAACAAGAAGAATCTATATCAATACCACAAAGGATTAATCCCAAGAAAATGACACATTTTACTCATTAAAACGTCACGTTTCTTGTAATTTTGTACGTTTAGTTCTGATTACAAATATTCATTTTTCAAATAACTCTGGAAACTTTTTCGGGGTCTGCATTTTTACTTACCATTATGGTTGGGCCGGATTCTCTGGTCGACAAGGCTGCGATTCTCTATCATATTCATAAACTCAACAGCAGACGTATGGCCAGAACTGCTGAAGTAGAACAAAAACATAGCGATCAATCCAAATTCAATCATTTCTGTATTGTCATATTATCCAACTATGGACATTGCAAGACTAAGATGTGTACTTTGTGCGGCCTTATGCCCTCGTCTCCTATGCTAAGGCATTCGAGGATAGACAATTCTAAATTTCCAATTTTGGAGATCGAGTTAAGATAATAGGGTAGTTAATTATCGGCGGTGTCAATGGAGTCCTGTTGGGACTTCCGATGAGCTTCTCCAATGTTATTAAGGCCATCTTTGGAGACTTACTGGATATATCTTGATGATCAGATAATTTTTTTGTTTTCGATGTTTTGCCAATCATGTTGTGTCCAAGACTAGGATTACAACTGAAGCAAGACTATGGTTGGTATTAAAAGTGGTAACTTGGTGAGGTTAAAATTACCGTTTTGCCTACAAACTTCATGACGTGAAAACATATTACCCAAATAATTGAACAAGTATGTCCTTCAGCACGAGGACATTAATTTTGCTGATATGATATTTCACTGTCAATCGAAAGTTTTTTTACGCTAAAATTGCTTTTAGGTTATTGTCGCATAGGGAGCGTCAATCTAAAGTTTCTTTAATCAGTGTGCTTATCTATCTGTGATACACATCGGTCTCCTTTACGTTTGAGCTGCATTCGAGGTTACGTTTTTATTAATTACTACTGTGCCACAAAATTGAGACGTATGCGATATGACGAATGTCAAAATTTCCTCAGCGGTAGCGCCAGAAAGATGTCTGTCTCAGGGGAGTTAGGAAATAATTATTTCAAAGCCATCTTTTAGCGTTCTATGGTTAATTACTGAACATAGGCTTTATACCTGTACATGTTAACAAAGTGTTTCGTCGTTAGCTTAATGTCGTTATAGGCAACGTTGAGAGTGGAATTAGTGCCAGTGGATCGGGATGAGGTTTATATGACCTCATATGGTCTTTGTGACCGATCGAAACGCCGTTCCATATTTGGTTCGAAAATTAGACCTCATTGTCGGTTCTCACGCTTAATTACTCCGTTTTATGAGGATAAGTCCAAATCCTGACGATGCAAGACTCTCTGTTCGCATCGTAATATTCTTGCTTTAAGACCCTTGGCCCCTTTATCTCCTTTCACAACAGTGTGAAGTTGAAAGGAGGACGGGGGGGGGGGGCGTCCAGGGTATTGAAGCAAGACTACCGTCGTAAGAGATCATTCAGTGTCTTCGGGGTATATTGACAGATCGAAACAAAAAGATGTGATTATTATTCCAAATGCATCCATCGTGAGTTTTTATGGACATTTGAAACGTTTTTAGATTTTTCTAACCATAGGACAACAATCATCTATTGACATTCAGCAACTCTTTTGGTTCTCTTTAAGGCAAATTAGTTGATACAATTCACGTAACACATACATCATCATTCACAGATACGTTTTTAACTATTGTGCTCCGACATCACTGCAAGACTATCAGAAGAATTTGATGGATCGAGCTAGTCGCGCATCCAACAATGAATATTAAATGTTTTGCAGTAAAGTAAAGTTATTCCAGACATCTATAATGAGTCTCAAGGATACGCTCTTTTACCATAATAATCTCAAAAGTTCAATTGATTATGCCGGATTAATTACGACGGCAATGTGAATGTTTTTAATCAGATAAATCTCCGCTTATTAACATTTTGAAATTCGAAAAGCACATTGAAATCTGGGAAATCAATGGTTAATTGGAAAATATTCCAAATACTGGAAGGTCAACAGTGTATGGAGATCCCGGAATAGAGATAATTAACTATCATCATCGTGTCACATTTAAACCAATATTTCTATCATGATATCCATGCTTTTTGTGATATGGTGATGCTATAGAAAATAAGTAATCTACCTCTTTCACAAATCGCATATAAATGCAACTGGTTCATGAGGTGTAAGGGAGAGGTAAATGGAATACGAGTTCCAAGTCTCTAGATCTAGCTGATACTGCCTCAGATGAGTCTCAGCTGATGCGCAAGCGCATGGCTCGGGGGCTACTTGAACGCGCTGTTACGCGGTATATGGCATACATTCATGGTTGCGCGGTATTTGTGATACGGGTGAATATGCCATACTCACCTGTGGTATATGGCATATTCCGCAGGTGAGTATGCGATATTCAGTGAGTGAATATGCGATACATTGATTCCAGTGAATACCCGATACTCACCTGCGGAATATGTCATACTCACTTGCGGAATATGCCATATACCGCAGGTGAATATGACATATACCGCAGGTGAAAACGTGATACAGAAAGCCTTGATTTGATTGGTTGCGAGAATCGACTCTAAATGTAAAACTACGCTGGATTACCATGCGTCGAGTACTAATATATGAATCCTGGATTGATTGAGTAAGTTTATTACACGACTGATAATTCTGCTAATTGTTAATATATTCGATAATTTTGATTCAGTAATCATTATAATAATTTATAACGTTTTGTACTTGTTCGCTCAATCGATGCAATTGACAATTGCGTACTTCCGTATCACGTTCTCATTGGTTAGTGTGTATGCCATATACCGCAGGTGAATCTGTCATACACCGCAAGTGAATATGCCATATTCGTTGCGGAATATGACATATTTTTGTATCGTGTTTACCGCGTAACACGCGCCATTATCGCGTATCTTTACGCAATATTATGTTGATTGGGTATTTTGGTTAACATAGCCTCAATGCCTCAATTACTTCTGGAATAGTACTTGGTTAAGATAGTGAGAGTGGGACTTAGAAAAATCAAAATGCGGTCAAAGCCAAGGGGTCGCAGAAATAGTATGCCTTCCCCTCACTTATGTTTAACATTTTTATAATCAATAAAAGTCACTATTTTCTAGTTACATGAAATGGTATGAAGCAAATAATGATTACTGGCACTTAAAATTGTGTTATATTTAATAATTATACGTAATGAGTAACAATTATATTTTATTTAGTATGAATTAAACCGTACGAATCCAATGAAATATTCAAAAATATTCCAGTAAAGGAGCGTATTCATATCATAAGACAAACAGAAGTGTTTAGATTAACCGTCTTCAGCAACCAGTACGTTTGTTGACGTTAAAACAAGGCAACCAAGACGTTATGAAATTCTCCAAATATATCGCCCTGGTCGCTGAAGTGAAGAATTCTTACTCGATTATTGGAGCTGCTGGATATATTTGCTCGTCATTGACTAGTTTTCAGTAACGGATATTACTATTAATATTCTGGTAAAATGTTTGGATGCTAAATCAACCAAATTGTTTGTGAAAATAATGAAAACAAGTCCCTCCGTCGGAAGTTCATCCACGGCCACTTTGTTAGAAAGACGTAACGTTTTAATAACCAGGTGGGGACAAGTTATACTTTTTGCATGCTTTAATGAAGTTAAAGCTTTTGTAATTATTTAGTCAAAAAAGCGTATTGATTTTTGGAAAGTGCCCAATATTTCAGATATATGAGCATCGATGTGCTGATATTAGATTATAGAAATAGAAATATAATGTTCAAGAGTAAAAACAGCATAGCATGGCTTTATTGTTATAGTTTTTACCTAACGTGTTATTACGTGATTATTATCGGAAACATTTTGAAAATAGCTTGAACTAGAAACGTAAAATTACAAAAGCCTATAATTACATAGATTCCAAATATCGATTGGTAGGGCTAAACAATAAAACATGTAATTTGTAGAAATTGTTTCATTCTAGAAACTCAGAGAAATGGAAAACATATCTTGTCTACCTTCTCTCGTCTGGTATTATTGTTATTAGACCCAGGTTGAAAATCTGTAGTCTATTGCTTTTGCCTGTATTCTTATTATCTTACAGGGTGTTCCAAAAGTAACAGGACTGGTGCTGGCATTTTGTTAAATATGCACCAATCATCTTAAAAATTTCACATAATGTACTCTCATGTATCGTTACTAAGATTGCAAAGTTTCGACAAAATATGTGAAACTCGGGTAGAGTTATGGTTGCTATAGTAACATGACATCGCAATACCCGGGGCAACATTCCACGCCAAAAATTACAGAGACATTAAGCATTTTGTACATGCCATATCAAAGTTGAAATGCAACAACTGGTGTGAATTACATTTGTTTTACATCATTTGATATATCTATATATCCTCTACTTTGAAAAATAGGCTCCTCTTTGGTCAGTACAAGAGTAAGACTCTGTATCCATGACCCAAACACATGTGTGAACCCATTTGAGGACATGTCACACAGCGTCAATTGGACAATTTGGAGAAGGTCATTCTCATCTTTAAAGGTCTTTCAGCACTGATTTGTATTCCATTCCCAATATAAGTAAAAACTAGAAAACATTTTGATAATAGTGAGTGTGTGGCAAGAGTAAATTAGATATTGCATGATCAGAAGATTATGGAGCATGGTTTTAGACCTCAAGACCTAGCTTCTATATCGCTGCATAGTCTTTAATGGTGTACCTGCGGGCAGGCGCGCTATCAAGGAAGATGCCTGGCTTCAAATTGGGTCTTTTTAAAAACTCAACCGTGAATTGTTCGGACTGTTATACATAGTGATATTCCAGGAAATTGAATGAATATTATTATCATTGTAAAATTATACTTGAATCTGAGTTGTATAGCAACACCTTTACAACAAAGCAACTAATAAAATAAACAAGAAATGTTGTATTATAATAGGTGAATTAGATACTTTCTTCAGTAATACAAAAATGTTGGATATCACATGTTCAGGAAAAAAGTTGCCCCGGGTATTGGGATGTCATGTTACTATAGTAACCATAACTCTAACTGCATTACATCATTTTTTCTGAAACTTTGCAATTTTAGTTGCAATACTTCAAAGTACAAGTTGTGAAAATTTGAAGACACTCAGTGCAAAATTGACAAAATGCCAGCACCAGTCCTGTTACTTTTGGAACACCCTGTATTCTTATTTTTTCCTTACAAAATGGCTTTAGAAAAATGCTCCAAAAAACACCTTTTACACTTATCAAATGTCATACAACTTTGTAAGACCAAAGATTATGCTACTAGTATTATATTTCATTATCTAATAACATATTTGGATAAGATGGAGGGTGGCCATTCATCAATACGATGCTAAAGTCAATACGATATTCGTATACATATTTTAATAATCAAACCAGTACATTTCATTTTGAAATATCTGGTGAATTTATATTTTTCATGGGGAGGATGGCACACTTCTGTTCAAGTTTTGCTTGTGAAGAATACAATTACTTTTCTTTCTCATTCTTCATCAATATAAGATGTCAAATCGTTTTTCGTATATAAAATTGAATCTGGAGTCTTCAGCTGAACTTAGTTCAATTTCACCAATCTAGTTATATCTCCCATCATGCATGCTAGGATTGCTAGGTCTGAACATATCGTTATATATGTTAGGTTTGGAGTCGTACTCACGCCATGTATATAAGGTCTAGAGTCCTACTCACCTCATGCATATTATGCCTGGGGTAATATTCACGTTTACATATATTAGGTCTGGAGTCACACTCACGTCATGTACATGTATGTAGGATCTGGAGTCGTACTCAAGCCATGCATATTATGTCTGTGGTAATATTCACGTTCACATATGTTAGGTCTGGAGTCACACTCACGTCATGTACATGTATGTAGGATCTGGAGTCGTACTCAAGCCATGCATATTATGTCTGTGGTAATATTCACGTTCACATATGTTAGGTCTGGAGTCACACTCACGTCATGTACATGTATGTAGGATCTGGAGTCGTACTCAAGCCATGCATATTATGTCTGGGGTAATATTCACGTTCACATATGTTAGGTCTGGAGTCACACTCACGTCATGTACATGTATGTAGGTTCCAGAGTCGTACTCACGCCATGCATATTATGTCTGTGGTAATATTCACGTTCACATATGTTAGGTCTGGAGTCACACTCACGTCATGTACATGTATGTAGGTTCTGGAGTCGTACTCACGCCATGTATATTATGTCTGGGGTAATATTCACGTTCACATATGTTAGGTCTGGAGTCACACTCACGTCATGTACATGTATGTAGGATCTGGAGTCGTACTCAAGCCATGCATGTTAGGTCTGGAGTAATAATACGTTACATATGTTAGGTCTGGAGTCATACTCACTTCATGTACATGTATGTAGGATCTGGAGTCGTACTCAAGCCATGCATGTTAGGTCTGGAGTAATTATCACGTTCACATATGTTAGGTCTGGAGTCATACTCACGTCATGTACATGTATGTAAGATCTGGAGTCGTACTCAAGCCATGCATGTTAGGTCTGGAGTAATAATACGTTACATATGTTAGGTCTGGAATCGTACTCACGCCATGTATATCAGGTCTAGATCAGTCAGACTCACCAAATCTACGCCAAGTTTTCGGGGTCTGGAATCGTACTCACGCCATTTATTTAGGTCTAGATCAGTCAGACACACGAAGTCTACGCCAAAGTTTTTCGGGGTCTGGATGAGTACTCTCGCCCCATATATAAAATCTGAAATTAGTACTCACGGCAAAAAATTTGCGTCTTGAGTAGGGTCGATGAAGGCTAATGCCATGTTGACCAAAATCCCGAAGATCGTCAACATCAGCATGGTGACAGACGACATTCTTCTCCAAACCACCCACAACAATATTTCGTGCTAATGATCTGGAAATGAAAATAAGAAACTTGCATTGTATTGTATTGTGTTGCATATTTTATTGTATTGTATTGTATTGTATTGTATTGTATTGTATTGTATTGTATTGTAGTGTGTTGTATTGTATTTTATCATAAGGTATTGTAATTTTTTTGCATCGAATAATATTGTATTGTTACATTGTTTTGTATTTTGTTGTAGTGTAATGCAGTGTAGTGTAACATCACAATTAACGATTTCACTTAACTTATAACTTAAAAAATACATTTTGATCTTATCTGATTTCTTTTTCAATTACTTTTTTCGAAATTTCCCTACTGCAAATTATATATTATCATTATATATCTGACATTTAGAAACTCCCGGTCGTTTTCTTATCACTGCCAAAGCAGAAATCGAATGTTCTCGTTTCCGAAGATAAAATAAAACCAATAGGTTGCGCGCACCTTTAAACTAAAGTTCAGTGTGGTTCTATTTATTTCCCCGATTCATCATGTTAAGCCGTTTCCAAGCTGTCTTGTAATTTAGGCCGACTCAAATTATCTTTAAACTCAATAAGTACAATACAAATACCTCAGTAATAGGCAGGTTTAGTCACGCGGACAAGACAGGTTAGTAATAATGCAATTATAATGTAAAGCTTGCAATCAGGCTTATCGTCATTCTGTATATCATCGGGTAACTTCCGATACTCTTCTTCCGTAAACGCATCCCTTGCAATGAATCACTTGCTATATACCCTCAATGCACGACTGGAGGACCAAACAGCAGTTATTTCAATAAAAATGGCGGCCGGAAGCGGATAATCAATTTTGTAGTTAAACTAAACTTTATTTTGAAATGCGGTATATATGTCAGGCCGATCAATGCCATATTGTGTCGAATAATATGGATGACTTAAAAATAACTGTATAAAACATAAACTACTTTGAGAATTGTATGAGATGATAAAAAGGCAGAAAATCAATTGTTATATATTTTGGAACGTGTTTGTTCGTAGATAAAGACTTTACGGACGAGATTTTAAGATCGGAAATCCAAAATAGTCCCATTTGTGTTTACCCTTAATGCCTTAAACTAATCAGTTTGAGAGTTTCATACGCCACGTTAGGACAAAAAGTCCAAAAAGCCGCCTTTACATTTACCCAGAATGTCCAAAGACTAACCAGTTCTTCGAGACTTTCATACAGAGAATCATCACTGAAATTTGAAATGAATCCATTAAACGGCTCGCCTGAAAACGCGTGGGACGGACGGAGGGATGGACAGACGTTACGCGTCTAAGCCGACACAGTATGTGGCGGGACATTAAAATGGGAAAACATGAAAAAACCCTACCCGAAAGGGCACGTACTATCAGCTCCTCTTAGTATTGATAAATGGCTATATTTGGGTGCCATTGGTGGTGACGTACACTGACATTAGGTCATCTATATGTGACAAAGCCATCATGGTTCTTACAAGTATGTATGTATGCTTAATGTAGCTAGATACGAGAGAGGAAAAGAAATATTGTTAAAACAGGTGCCATTTTACCTGAATATTACAAATGGCTCATAGACAATATTGATTACCTAATCAATGTGTCTGAACAATGCCTAATGGGAGTACTTTACCATTATCTTACATGCCACAACGTTTGTCAGTCAACTTGTGTTATTTAGTTCTTACATGGGTGTGATCCGGATCTGTCACGTCCGTAATCTTAATCATTAATTTCTAAGGTAAAGAGAAATACAAAGAAATACAGTGGAAAATGGTGAAAGTAATATTTTCGAAAATCATGCCAATATTTTCTTGAAATCCCAATTCTATGTTCCATTAAAGGAATATAGATATTACTGATCAAACAGATAGAAGTTATGAAGTTTTTTCCAGAGTAAAGGAGATAAATTTGATAAAACAAAAAATTGCAATCGACGCTTACCGTCGCCATTTTGAAAAAGAGAAAGCAGGTTCAACAATATGCTTCGAGATTGGGTGGATCTGTCTTTTAGCCAGAGAGGGAAAAACACCAGGGTTCAAAGATGACATACGCTTATAATGTAAATCTGTATTGAGATGGCATCGTCGCTGATTGGTCAAAAGTCGACAAACAAATGTTGTCATCAATGGCTGTTTCAAAGTGTATGATATTGGTTAACACGCCAGCAATGAACATAATATTTCGAATAATATTATGTTCATTTCTGGCGTGTTAACCAATATCATAGCTTCTCATTTCACATCAAGATAAAGAAAGGTGTACGGAATATGCCTATTTCAATTAAAACATCCCATCGAAGTGTAGTATTTGATAACTAGCCGATGAAAATTCGAACGAACGAAGGTGGTAAGCAAGAGAGGTAATTATGTCTGTCATCTTTAAACTCTGGGGCTTTCCCTCCTCTTTCTTTTAGCCGTGTAGTTTAGATTGACCTTGTATTGACACAGAGATACTAATTACAATCCTTGATTAAGGCAAATACGATAAGTGATGAAAGTATCTCACTTCACCTTTGACAATACAAACCCATTTGTTGTCCTCCCTTTTGAGATTGCTATTATAGATATTCTGTTTACCCGAATCAAGCTGCAATTTATATAATATATAGTACCCATTAATATGAGAATCCATTAAAAGAACTCAAAGGGTACTAATGTATATATCAAGGGGCTTCCTTGAGGGCTACCCATTTAAAAATCGAATGTTTTACATAACCACATATAAGTTCGTAACAGGGTATGCATAATTAATTATGGATCTTTTCATGTAAATGTGCAAATAAATGCCATAATTTGCAAAATTTGGGAACAATTAATATTGATTAATAAAATTCAGAAGCGAAAAATAGAGGTTTTAAAATAAAGGCTGTCACTTTTTCCCCTGAAAGAATTCTGATGGGTAATCAAATATAGTAGTTTTTGAATTCATTAGAATACCATTTGCTATATACAGAAAAAGAGCACGTACGTGTGTTGGTTGAATATGTTTTATATTATGGAGACAACTGGTAAAAAGTCACAAAAGCTGTTCAATCAGTATTCATGACAGGTGTATAACTATGATACGCATTGTGCTTTGCGTCTATGATTTGCAATCGATCGACTTTGCAAAGTTTTAACTAGCTTCTTCTATCACAGTGTCTATAGACTGAAAGTTATATCTTATGTACTCTTTAGCATTTAGAATTCGAGAAAGTTGTACTTGATTAGCAAGTAAGTTATCCCTAGCACAATATTTTCTCAATAGCTAAGTTGTTTTTGATCGAAAATACATGAGAATATATATACCTACAACGTTAAGTAAACTCTCTATACAAAGCTCTCCAGAAATGTTATTTGTATGTTTTGTTTTAATCGTCATGGTATCTTTTTTCAAATTGAATTGAAGGATGGCGCAAACTTTCGGACAATGTTATTTGTTTGGTTCTTTGAATTTCGACGAGGTCTGTCAATAGATGACAAAGAATTCAATGAGTTTATATGCATGAACATTTAACATTTCTCCAAAACTCAAAGCTATATATTGCTACGAGTAAAATACAATACAATACAATACAATACAATACAATACAATACGTCGATAATATGAACTTCATGTCATGTCTTTTTGTCATTGAATGAAATATTTGGTAGATTAAGAATTAGTGTAATTAATTACATTAAAAGCCTAATTTGTAACACCGTCGCACGTTCGGCATTCACTGTGTTCATCAGTAGAAGAACGCAGTGACAACTAGCTTGGTCTGATAGCTATTTTACGTTGTCGCATATTCTGATTGTAAAACCTGGCGACCATCAGAACATTTTGATCATGCTTTAAGTCCCGGAGGACCTACCTGTTCAAGTTCGTTCATGAAGTTTGTAGATTTACCCAAAACGGTTCTAGGTTTGTCCAGTCCGTTCGTACATAGTTTAAGCCCGTTTCGAGAACGTAATGAGAACTAATTTGGTGATAGTAGTGTTTATCAGCCCGGATATGACGGGTTGAGAACTAATTTGGAGAAACTTGAGTAAAGATCATTCTGATACTTTTAACATCTTTATGTTTCACCAGAAACGTGTTTCAACGATGAGAAGAAATGTGATGTCATTGTTTATCATGATGGATGGTTGAAAATCTATTTGTGACTCATAGCTCATAAGTAATATGAGTTATCATATGTTCTCTGTATGTTCTTCACTTATGCTTGCAAATTATGCAACTAAGAACAATCTACTGTATACTAAACAAATAGTCACATCATTACTTCACTTACTTATCCACAATTGCTGCTATTTTGGCAGGTTTCCTAAGTCATAAATATTAAGGTCTACTATTAGAAGTGTAACTGCTAGTGTGCCGGCATGGGCTCTACCATCTGATAGAGCCCATGGTGCCGGGAATGACCTGTAACTGAAGTTATCGTTTTAATGCCATGGACATGCTTTTCCACTAAGAGAAATATTAGCTCTTCTACTCGGGGCTTCTACTCGATACCCTTAAGAATTATTGGATAGTACTCTATGTAATTGTCATTATGTTTTTCTATTTTGGCTACGATTTGATAATATTGGTCGTTGCTTCCGAAACACGTTTCTCGTTTTATTTTTGAAGAAACGATAGGGTTTATCAGGGGACTCTTATCTTCAAAGCTGATCTAAAGCAAGCAGGTAAATTCCAATATGATGTACATGTGTGTGGAAAATCCGCTGACTAATAAGTAGAAGCAAATCTGTCCAAATATATCAACAGTTCGGAAATGTTACTTTAAATTTGAGGGAGGGTGGTAAATACTCACATAAAGGAAATCAGATAAATGCCTGAAATACTACAATACAGTAGGTCTATTCTATTGATACAGTACTATATAGTATACAGGTTACTTGCGTCATATTAGCCAGTGGCTAATGAACCTCTAACTCTGATCCAAAAATACTCCAAAATCTAAGAAAAAACAGAACGATGTATTTCACTTTTTGTACTTTTAAAGCGATATACACTTAGTTGACCATCAATGATCAATATAAAGGTTTTATAACTTTAAAAGGCAGAACTAATTCAATGCTTAAATTATTTGCAAACGCTGTAACATTGTAAACTTTTAATTTATAAAATCCACAATTATACATTCACCTTGTTTACCTTTCTCTAATTTTCGATGGTACATGTATGACTGCTCCAAATAGAGATTGATGCGTTCAATCAATCTAACAACTGTGTTCACGTGGCAATCAACATTGCTATTGTCTACCCTTTCAGAGTTTTAGGAACGATTTAAACGCGGAGATTTTTTCTTTTTGGGCTTGGGATTAGAGTACTTTTGTCATATGTTTACAAGCCCGACTCCATATCAAGCCTGATAAATCTTGTTAAAAAAGATAATAAAGTCAGTTTATCCTAAATAACAATAGACAGAAGATAAATGTCTAGGATGAAATTATTTTTTACAAATCGCGAAACGCAAAAAATAATTTTAGACACATGTGTTAAGGCGGAGTTGAGGGACTGCAAACCTTTTCAGAAAACATTTTGTTATGAATCGGTTTAACGTCCTAAATACGTGAACAGACAGGTAATGAGTTTGTTAGACATACTTAGAAATACATAGACTTTTGCCAAGGCTTGAATATATTTCATGAACCTGCTTGGCCTCATTCTGACTGTCTGACCTTCCTTAGGTTAGTTACATTCGAAAAATATATCATTCTAGGGGTGCATCACGTCAACCTGCAGGATAATTCTTTACAAAATTTTCCACTTATTTTGTTTCCACAAAATTATTATTATATTTTGCAAGTTTTTTTTCACAAAATTATATTTTGCACGTTGCATCTCTAGTTTAAAACCAATAGGTTTCAATGTCCAATAACTTATAGTATTCTCCGTCAAGTTCTTCTTCCACCTAAAGAAAAAAACTCACATAACAGTTGGGACTTCCCACGTGGCTTTATACCTTTCTAAACGTGTTATTTCAATTAGGGCGCTTATTGCTTGGCTCTATCTAATGCTCCTTTAAGTGAAAGAATTTGCCCGTCTAAGAATATACCTTTAATGGCCATTAAAAGTCATAGCTGATCCCAGGGCTTCTTTTTATCTTATTTTTACAACGAGTATCACTTAAATTATGTAATAAAGACAGAGGGAACAAGTACTTTATAAGGTCAAGAATGATGGAGATATCATCAGTTGTACTTAGACTCAAATGCTTTACCACCTTTCAGTTTTGTCCAAGTTTTCAGCAAATAAGAATAGATTTAAGTACTCGGAGTCATGTCATGAAACTTGCCAAAAATATCATGATAATGAGAGGCAGACTCTGATATATTTGAAAGAGTCAAACGATGGCCAACTTGCATTTTGTGGTAATGAAAAAGTGTGCTTCTTTGTTTCGATTTCATAGATCAGCTTAACACAATTGAACCAGGCTACCCTTTGCATTCGTTTGACTTCACTTCTTAAAAGAGAGCTTCGTCTTCACTCTTTCAAACTAAAATAAACCTGTGAACTCACCGCGCCAATCATTGTTCGTCGGCCAAATTTGACCGACGTTCTATATATGGTCATTCCTTCTGACGTCATCATTGAGCCCGGAATTGACCAATGACATGCGCATATTTAATTGGAACGCATTTGGCGTGTTTCTTCAAGCTCGCTGATTGTTGGAAGAAAGGTCAGCGCGTAGGTCAGAAGTGATTTACAACCCAAACTGTCACCGGTACCCGTCGTGGGGGCGGGGCTACTAAACTGTAATATGGTCTCTACTAGGCAGAGTGTAGTTTGACTAGACTCTGCACGCAGGGTAGAACCAGGCCGTTTATAAAATGCTTATATGAGGCGCAGTAAATCCGGCGACATTTTCATTGAAAGATCATTTTCAATCCGACTCCGTTTTTGGAATAAATAAGTTTAGTTTTGATATAAACCGAAACAAATTCAAAAGTCAGTTTAAATCACGAAAAAGCACAGCGTCAAAGCAAACAAACTGCGTTAATTTACATTAATTATATGAACTTCTGTTTTTAAAGACAAGATATTCGACTTTATACGAGTAGTACATAATATCTTCGACATGTCTGTAATGCCCGGGCGATTGACATATACCTGCATGTACTAAGTAGTATGTAAGTTTGCTTAAACTAATAAATACCAAGTGAAAAGATGTCTGCATTTAATACACGCTAACTCTTGTTAGTGATGACTAAATAAAAGCTGTTCGCAATTTCACACTTCACTATTTCAAGAGAAAGGCACTTGTGCGAAATGTGAGAGGAACTTGTATCCCAATTACAATATGGGGAATAAAGCAATACAATACAATACAAATAATACAATTCAATACAATACAATACAATACAATACAATACAATAGGTCTTCGCAATTTCACACGTTAACTATTAAAAAGGAAACGCACTTAGTGAGAAATGTTGGAGAATAATTTGTATCCCTACAGGACAATACAATACAATTCAATACAATACAATAGGTGTTCGCAATTTCACACGTTAACTGTTAAAAAAGGAAAAACACTTAGTGCGAAATGTTGGAGAATGACTTGTATCCCTACAGTACAATACAATACAATACAGTACAATACAATACAATTCAATACAATACAATAGGTGTTCGCAAAAATCTACACGTTAACTATTTCAAGAGAAGAGCTATGGTATGATATGTGAGGAAAATAATTTGTATCTCTATTCAAATATGGGCAATACAATTCAATAAAATACAAGATAATACAATACAATACAATATAATACAATACAATAGGGATTCGCAATTTCTCATGTTAACTATTTCAAGAGGAAAACACTTGAGATGTGAGATAGTTTCACCTATTGCTGAATTTTGGATCCATCTAGTGCAACTGTAGAAAATTGCCAACTAAAGTTAAAAATATATAGCTCCTTTATATTTGTAGAAAAGGTCACGATACAAAGCCCTTACTTCAACTCAACATCTTCCAAGTACTTGATCTTTAGATTTAACAAATTAGACAACTGTTGATTCATCTGAAGGCGATGTATATTCTTCAAAAAAAGGTATACCGGTCTTATTAATCATATCGATGATGATATGGTTTGAGAACCTACATGTAAGGCTAATGGAATTATATGAAATAACAAACATAAGAGTCTTTGATATTTGCATTTAACAAATCAGACTCTTTTATTTTTTATTATTAAGTACTGTTCGTGTTAGGTTATTCAATATGTTCAGAGCCATGTATTTGATCAAACCAGTAAGCACCACATTTCAATTAAACTTGCCAAAACAATTAATATAGCAAGTTTTGGTTGGAATAATGACTTTTGCTGATTCTTCTGAACTCATTACTTTTGTCCTGACAAAATCCCTATATCCCCTGAAATGAAAAATTATCCCATATTCTATTGAAAAAACTAGAGATTATTAGAAATTGATTATTAGTCATGGCAAAATAGGCATTTTCCCTCCCCTCAAACGGACACAATTTAATCCGACCCATTATATTGCAAAATAAGGTTTGTTCTGTCATTGCTCGTGCCATCAATAATCATGACCATCCCAAATTAATAATAGAAAAACATTTCGATAATAAACCATGTCGTGAAGCTGGATTCATCAAAATGAAAACGCGGATTCACTACAAGTAAAAGCTATTGTATTCTGGGTTTTGTAGAATATAAATTCAATTAACAAAAAATATACATAGGATTCACATTTGTTTTTAATTAAATCCATGTGCTGACAAGTAATATATTATTTGTGATACTAACTGTTTCTCGAATACTAACGTCGTAAATTAGGAACACTACAATTAACTTTGCAAACCGATAAAAACAGCCATATTCCAAGCTCATAAACTCTCCTTTTAATCGTGATAAAACGATCGTGGTGGGGGGGGGGGGGGGTGAAGTACATGGACCTGATTCAGAAATGATGACATTTGTATAATACTGTATACTTACTCTAAATGCAAATATCAAAGACTCTTATGTTTGTTATTTCATATAATTCCATTAGCCTTACATGTAGGTTCTCAAACCATATCATCATCGATATGATTAATAAGACCGGTATACCTTTTTTTGAAGAATATACATCGCCTTCAGATGAATCAACAGTTGTCTAATTTGGAATTAATAATTATAATGTGAAATAGGCAGCAGGATTTAGTATTTAAATTCTTATCTTGCATGGGACACTGTTTGCAGTGTTAAACGACTTGTAATCAAAGATACGTACAATCCCATTGCATTCAAACTCAATGTATTACAAATATATAATTAAAATAATTTAGATAATTACTCACCAACAGTTGACTTAGCGGTACCCCCTTCTCGCTTTCCGCTGGTGTATTGTAATACTATTAAATGAGCTGATAAAATGTCTGGATCTAGTTTTTAATATATCTTTTTATAATTAAAGTTTATAATAGTATATCAGCAATGCCCGTTCTTAAAATCCTTATTCTAAATCCGGACTATAGTATCTATTCAACACCCACGATGGAAATAATAATTTAGGAATGGCTTATGTAACAGTAGACGTATAGTCTAGTATAATACCTATTGGTAATAGTTGAAGGTCACGTGCCAAGTTTAGTGAAGGCCGTCTGTAGGAACGCGCGGAATGTTTTGTCGAAGATCTGCTGATGCATGGACTTGTGTTTTGCAGGGACGAGCAAGATGCTATATGCTAGCTGTATGTGTGCGTGATTCATTCTGGTACTTAAAGCATCTCTATCTGTTGTGGCTTACCACGATGTGCGTTTATTTACTTGGTATGTTCAACGGTTTCATCCGACCCCCTGTAATAGCTCCACGCAATGACAGTAGGGACATCATCAACCGACGTTTAAAATCATCATCTCGTTTCATTGTGCCCAAGTTCATAATTGGATGTGACTTTCTACTTAACATTAGTTAACGATTATAAATAATCGATATTTTTAATCAGTTTTCTAATGGAAAGAGATCACTTCTCTGAACTTTAAGATGCTTGCTGTAATGCTGTATTTTGTAAAGCGATCTGCTATATTTAGTATTTTGTAACTAAACATGTTATATGGAATATGCAGCTAGGCTGATTCCCTTTGTTAAACAATTAAGTCTTTAAAAAATGTATTTATTCTTTCATTATGGCGTATATTCCCCTTTATACCATGGTAAGTGCAATATCAGGTGTATAATAACAAGTGATAAATCACATATTTGGGATAGGGATGATATCAGGGATATTGGGATAAGAGGGAGGATATCAGGAATGATATGGATATCAATCCGGGTATTTATAAAAAATTCATTTTCGAAACTATTTTTTCAAAACTTTTTTCGCTCAACCAATGGTGATATTTCCCATATCAAATCCCTCTGGCGAATAATTTCTTTTTATTCAATAATACTACTGTTTTCCCTGGGAAATAAAATCATATTATCCCTCTTAAAATCATATTTACTCGAAAAATATTATTGTCCCTGGAAAAAAATCATATATACTCGAAAAATCATATTGTCACTGGAAAAAAAATCATATATACTCGAAAAATCACATTGTCCCTATTTAAAAAAATCTATGTTGCAGTTTGTGCTCTGGAGGAAATGTCAATTGAGTATATCAGATATTAAGTATCTAATTTGTCATACAAGTCTGATTTACTTTGGGCTATGTACGGAATGTCAATTTTGGACCAGCTGTACATCGCACTGGTAGCAGCGACTAGTTTGATATATTGTGAGACGTTTATGTATATATTTTTACGTTTGCCAAAGGAGGGATGTATCGATTGACTTCTCTGTTAGGGGGATATATAATATCCAATTCGTCTTAAATCGCTTATGCAATTTGCGCTCTTGACGAAATGTCAATATTCCGACCAGTCGTACGTCACACTGCTACATGCCAGTCCTTTGCAATTTTGTGAGACGTTTATGTATATATTTTGGAGTATGCTCTTGAATGGATTTAATGAATGATGTTCCCGTTCGTGATATATTTTATATCTAATTCGTCTTAAATCTATGATGCAGTTTGTGCTCTGGAGGAAATGTCAATTTTCGGACCAGTCGTACGTAACGCTGATGGCAGCATGATATTTGTTATTTAGTGAGATGTTTCAGGATACATTTTTACATTTGCCCTACCGAGGACTTGTTGATTGGTCATTCTATTCGTGAGATATTGAGTATCTAATTTGTCATACAAGTCTGATTTACTTTGGGCTATGTACGAATTGTCAATTTTCGAACCAGCTGTACATCGCACTGGTAGCAGCGACTAGTTTGATATATTGTGAGACGTTTATGTATATATTTTTACGTTTGCCAAAGGAGGGATGTATCGATTGACTTCTCTGTTAGGGGGATGTATAATATCCAATTCGTCTTAAATCGCTTATGCAATTTCGCTCTTGACGAAATGTCAATTTTCCGACCAGTCGTACATCACACTGGTACATGCCAGTCCTTTGCAATTTTGTGAGACGTTTAAGTATTTATTTTGGAGTATGCTCTTGAATGGATTTAATGAATGATGTTCCCGTTCGTGATATATTTTATATCTAATTCGTCTTAAATCTATGATGCAGTTTGTGCTCTGGAGGAAATGTCAATTTTCGGACCAGTCGTACGTAACGCTGGTGGCAGCATGATATTTGTTATTTAGCTAGATGTTTCAGGATACATTTTTACATTTGCCCTACCGAGGACTTGTTGATTGGTCATTCTATTCGTGAGATATTGAGTATCTAATTTGTCATACAAGTCTGATTTACTTTGGGCTATGTACGGAATGTCAATTTTCGGACCAGCTGTACATCGCACTGGTAGCAGCGACTAGTTTGATATATTGTGAGAGGTTTATGTATATATTTTTACGTTTGCCAAAGGAGGGATGTATCAATTGACTTCTCTATTAGGGGGATATACAATATCCAATTCGTCTTAAATCGCTTATGCAATTTGCGCTCTTGACGAAATGTGAATTTTCCGACCAGTCGTACGTCACACTGGTACATGCCAGTCCTTTGCAATTTTGTTAGACGTTTAAGTATATATTTTGGAGTATGCTCTTGAATGGATTTAATGAATAATGTTCCCGTTCGTAATATATTTTATATCTAATTCGTCTTAAATTTATGATGCAGTCTGTGCTCTGGAGGAAATGTCAATTTTCGGACCAGTCGTACGTAACACTGGTGGCAGCATGATATTTGTTATTTAGTGAGATGTGTCAGTATACATCTTTACATTTGCCTTACCAAGGACTTGTTGATTGGTCATTCTATTCGTGAGATATTGAGTATCTAATTTGTTATACAAGTCTGATTTACTTTGGGCTATGTACGGAATGTCAATTTTCGGACCAGCTGTACATCGCACTGGTAGCAGCGACTAGTTTGATATATTGTGAGACGTTTATGTATATATTTTTACGTTTGCCAAAGAAGGGGTGTATCGATTGACTTCTCTGTTAGGGGGATATATAATTTCCAATTCGTCTTAAATCGCTTATGCAAAATTGCGCTCTTGACGAAATGTCAATTTTCCGACTAGTCGTACGTCACACTGGTACATGCCAGTCCTTTGCAATTTTGTGAGACGTTTAAGTATATATTTTGGAGTATGTTCCTGAATGGATTTAATGAATGATGTTCCTGTTCTTGATATATTTTATATTTAATTCGTCTTAAATCTATGATGCAGTTTGTGCTCTGGAGGAAATGTCAATTTTCGGACCAGTCGTACGTAACGCTGGTGGCAGCATAATATTTGTTATTTAGTGAGATGTTTCAGGATATATTTTTAAATTTGCCCTACCGAGGACTTGTTGATTGGTCATTCTATTCGTGAGATATTGAGTATCTAATTTGTCATACAAGTCTGATTTACTTTGGGCTATGTACGGAATGTCAATTTTCGGACCAGCTGTACATCGCACTGGTAGCAGCGACTAGTTTGATATATTGTGAGACGTTTATGTATATATTTTTACGTTTGCCAAAGAAGGGATTATCGATTGACTTCTCTGTTAGCGGGATATATAATATCCAAATCGTCTTAAATCGCTTATGCAATTTGCGCTCTTCACGAAATGTCAATTTTCCGACCAGTCGTACGTCACACTGGTACATGTCAGTCCTTTGTAATTTTGTGAGACGTTTAAGTATAAATTTTGGAGTATGCTCTTGAATAAATTTAATGAAAGATTTTCCCGTTCGTGATATATTTTATATCTATTTCGTCTTAAATCTTTGATGCAGTTTGTGCTCTGGAGGAAATGTACGAATTGTCAATTTTCGAACCAGCTGTACATCGCACTGGTAGCAGCGACTAGTTTGATATATTGTGAGACGTTTATGTATATATTTTTACGTTTGCCAAAGGAGGGATGTATCGATTGACTTCTCTGTTAGGGGGATGTATAATATCCAATTCGTCTTAAATCGCTTATGCTATTTCGCTATTGACGAAATGTCAATTTTCCGACCAGTCGTACATCACACTGGTACATGCCCGTCCTTTGCAATTTTGTGAGACGTTTAAGTATTTATTTTGGAGTATGCTCTTGAATGGATTTAATGATCTAATTCGTCTTAAATCTATGATGCAGTTTGTGCTCTGGAGGAAATGTCAATTTTCGGACCAGTCGTACGTAACGCTGGTGGCAGCATGATATTTGTTATTTAGTTAGATGTTTCAGGATACATTTTTACATTTGACATACCGAGGACTTGTTGATTGGTCATTCTATTCGTGAGATATTGAGTATCTAATTTGTCATACAAATCTGATTTACTTTGGGCTATGTACGGAATGTCAATTTTCGGACCAGCTGTACATCGCACTGGTAGCAACGACTAGTTTGATATATTGTGAGACGTTTAGGTATATATTTTTTACGTTTGCCAAAGGAGGGATGTATCAATTGACTTCTCTATTAGGGGGATATACAATATCCAATTCGTCTTAAATCGCTTATGCAATTTGCGCTCTTGACAAAATGTCAATTTTCCGACCAGTCGTACGTCACACTGGTACATGCCAGTCCTTTGCAATTTTGTGAGACGTTTAAGTTTATATTTTGGAGTATGCTCTTGAATGGATTTAATGAATAATGTTCCCGTTCGTAATATATTTTATATCTAATTCGTCTTAAATCTATGATGCAGTCTGTGCTCTGGAGGAAATGTCAATTTTCGGACCAGTCGTACGTAACACTGGTGGCAGCATGATATTTGTTATTTAGTGAGATGTTTCAGTATACATCTTTACATTTGCCTTACCAAGGACTTGTTGATTGGTCATTCTATTCGTGAGATATTGAGTATCTAATTTGTCATACAAGTCTGATTTACTTTGGGCTATGTACGAATTGTCAATTTTTGAACCAGCTGTACATCGCACTGGTAGCAGTGACTAGTTTGATATATCGTGAGACGTTTATGTATATATTTTTACGTTTGCCAAAGGAGGCATGTATCGATTGATTTCTCTGTTAGGGGGATATATAATATCCAATTCGTCTTAAATCGCTTATGCAATTTGCGCTCTTGACAAAATGTCAATATTCCGACCAGTCGTACGTCACACTGGTACATGCCAGACCTTTGCAATTTTGTAAGACGTTTAAGTATTTATTTTGGAGTATGCTCTTGAATGGATTTAATGAATGATGTTCCCGTTCGTGATCTATTTTTATATCTTATTCGTCTTAAATCTATGATGCAGTTTGCGCTCTGGAGGAAATGTC